TCATGCACCAAATTCTGTGACCCCGTAGCGCGCAAAGGAGACCATTTGCGCGATAAAATTTTAGGGGCGTCACCCCTGGGGTGTTTGCACCTAGGTGCAAACACCCTCTGGGTGACGCCCATTGTGTTCGACCCCTTTAATTGCTTCGCAATAAGGGGTTGAAAGATATATAAATTAAATTTGTTGGGGCTTTACAGCACGTCTCGGCAGAAGGATTTAAAGGCCTATTTTAGGTTTAATCGAACACCATCTCCTGAAGGAGATGGAGTTCCGCGGGGCGATGGGAGGAATTATGTCTTTTAGCAAATGTTGTATAATAGGCAATGATTTTCGTGGGATTGTAATTCTATAAGATTCACCTCTTTTGCTTTTGTAACATTTCAAATCTCACTTAGAGTTTAAAACATTGATTAATAATAAAACTTCGGATGGTGAAAATGATTCAGTACATAATATTACTCTTCGACTTGATTTACAAAAACTACCATCATCTCCCAACCAATAAGCTAAGCTTAAAGGCGTAAAAAGTTCTCCTATGTTTTTTGGAATTATTTTTTTCCCGCGTCACCCCTACTTCGATGATTACAACCTAGGGAAACCTGATATTACAAGAGTAAATATTGGTCAGGTTAAAAACAAAAAAAGGAGTATGGATAAATTTTTTAAGGACAAAATTTTCTAATCCTCTTCTTTTATTAATTTAAGTATCTTCTTTTATTAATTTAAGTATCTTCTTTTATTAATTTTAGTATATCTAGAACATACTTTAGTTAGGAGTGCATAGCATCACGTCTGGGATCTCTGGGTTTTATGCCCCGCCAGTGATTCACTCGTCACCCCTGGGGTGTTTGCACCTAGGTGCAAACACCCTCTGGGTGACGAGGAGCTGCATCTCGAAGTCCCAAATCGGAAATGGTTGCAACATACGTTGCAACCACTGACGATTTCGGGCGCGATGCAAAGGACCGAAGGCTAAGTCCGGTTAAAACCCTATGATTTATAGTTCGTATAAATTAGGCGCCCTGCTTCGCCCTGATGGGTCCCTCAGGACTCAGAAGGAGCCCTTCGGGGTAGATGCCAGAATTTGAATTTTAAGACCTTAAAATTAAATTTAGGGGGTTAATTGAACCCTCGTCTAGATCTAAAGATCTGGATGAGGGTTTGATTTACCTTAGCTCAACCTTCCTAGATCTAAAGATCTGGATGAGGGTTTGATTTACCTTAGCTCAACCTTCCTAGATCTAAAGATCTGGATGAGGGTTTGATTTACCTTAGCTCAACCTTCCTAGATCTAAAGATCTGGATGAGGGTTTGATTTACCTTAGCTCAACCTTCCTAGATCTAAAGATCTGGATGAGGGTTTGATTTACCTTAGCTCAACCTTCCTAGATCTAAAGATCTGGATGAGGGTTTGATTTACCTTAGCTCAACCTTCCTAGATCTTCTTGCCTAACTTGGTTAGGCTGGAAGATGTCCTTTCAGGAGACGAAGGTTCAACTAAGGTCCCCTAACAGATGTTATAAAGCCGAAAAACATCTTATTGGATTTGAACCAATACCAGACTGCTTCGAAGGCAGTTGCTATACCAATTAAGCTAAAGATGCCATATCTCAGTAAATTACTCTAAGGCCGACACGGGCGTCAGAGTCCCCGCACACGGAGGGTCATGTGGACATCTTCGATGGCCACATGACCGTAGTGTACGGGGCTTAGCCGCGTCACCCAGAGGGTGTTTGCACCTAGGTGCAAATACCCCAGGGGTGACGCGGGGTTTGTGTTCTGTAGCTTGCTTCAACGAAGAACGACCTCAAAGCTGACGCCCTCGTGTCGCTTCTTCCCTTTCAGGGAAGAACTGTAATAGTGCCTACCCCCATTTCCTCTAGTTTGAGGCGCGGAGGGGGCCCCTATTGCCCAACGGCAGACTTCGTAGACAGGCCTTTGCCCCTCGCAGGAACTTAAGTTCTTGTGAGGAAATAGGAATCCGCGCTAAAAGCGTATTTTTGTCTGTTGTGAAACCACAGGTTGCACAACAGTCAAAAAGAGTCTAGCTTGTTTATTTTTATACATCGTGCAATTGAAAATTTCACGATGCATAAAAAAGAGTTTTACCATTTTACCTTCCGTGTCATCTTGGACGATCCCGCCTGCGGGCTTGGCACAAAAACGAGGTAATGTCGACACAACACCCGCGGCGGAATTTTAGTGGGACCCCATAACTTAATGATAACACAGCAGGGAAAACAAGGTGTTAGAGGGTTTTATAACGTGCATAAAATGTAGGTCCTTCCGAAATACGAGTAAAGAGATTTGAACTCTTACAATCAAATGATCATGAATTCCTAAGATTCACCTGGCTACCAGTTTCAGCATACTCGTTTTGAATTACTACTTGGATTTTACTTATCGATCTGAATGAACCATTTACCTTCAACTGTAGTTGCATGGCAAATTTTGTATCAGGGTTGAAATTGTCAATTACATTATCATACAATTGGTGGAGTGGAGTGCCTCTAAAGCCTTGTGCTTTAGTGGCGCTCCACTCCTACTGTTAACAGCCACATAAAGCTAAAGCTTTAGAGGCTGTAAACAGAACTCCTATTTTTTTTAAGGACCTACGGCCCATAAAAAAATAGGAGTTTTGCATCGAAGATGCAAAACTATTGAATTGACCGATTGAGTAGATAGATCTGTAATAGGCGTTGAAATGTAGTTAATGTTTTTTTTGACCTAAATAATGACAGTAACTCTCGCTGCGATCGAATAAAGCTTACGCTTTATTCGGCCACGGAGAGTTGCTGCAGCTGCCGGGTCAGGGCCGCTCCATCGTAAGATGGAGCGATCTACGACCGGCAGCTGCGCCGGAATCTACGATTCGGCGCACCTAATTTTTCATGGGCCATGGGTCCATAGAAAAATTGGTGTTTTGTTTTACATAAATCATTTTACAATAAAATTTTGACCTAAATAATTTGTAATGTACACACCTTTCCAGACAGTTATAAGCAAACTTAAGATTTTACGCGGATTATCGTATTAAACAACATGCTTCACTTCGTTTGCTTCGGGGCCGACTAATTTTTTGTTTTCACTTTTGCAAGTATACTCACAAGGCGGAATGGTTAACGTGTTTACATCGGTACTAAATTTAACATAATTAATACCTGCCATTCATCGTTTACAGTTGGGAGTACTAGGGTATCTAATCCTATTCCCTCCCACGGTTTTTTTTTTATACACACATTGTTATACAACATGCGACCAGACGAAAATCCTTTCTTTAGTAATGGTATACTAAATAGCGCGCAAAGGCGTCACCCAGAGGGTGTTTGCACCTAGGTGCAAACACCCCAGGGGTGACGCCCATTTGCGCGGTATTCTCGTGTATGGGAAAGCCATACTCTTGGTGTCGGTTATGGGATGTTCATTTATATTTCCACTAAGGAACGATTTTTTGCAAGCTCGAAAATGTATTCCTAAGAATACACCACTCAAAGAGTGATGCAGGTATCGCTTTCTTTAAATGTGTGCGCCTACTTTACTCCCATAACAAGATACAACTTATGATTTCCCGTTGATCCTCGTAACGTGTCTACTTTTTATTTAGTAAATGATAATCTCACGATTATCGCTTTCACGTCTCGCCCAGAAACTAGTTTATTATCTTATCAATGATAAGATAATTAGTAGAACATCGAAGTCGTCCCTCTCTATTTTTTAAATTTTCATTTGTTTTACAACAAACTAATCATACAAATCCTCAAATGAGGCAAAATTTTGATTTGTAAATTACTTCTCTTTTATTTAATTTTCGATATTTTGTTACGACGTCCACAACTCTTTACACTATGAATACGTCTGTGTTCTTCCAATGCCGCATTGACTGTCAACGAAGTTGCCAGCGTATTTTTGTCTGTTGTGAAACCACAGGTTGTGAAACCACAGGTTGCACAACAGTCAAAAAGGTTTTGATCCGGGCGGCCAGGGTATACTTTAATAAAGTATAACCCTGGATTTAAGCCCATGAGGACGGATAATACTGCGGACTCATACAGGGCTTGGACTACAAACAGTAGAGAACTTAACTTATCGCAGTAAGTTAAGTTATCTCTGTAGGGTAGACTGACTCTACCCGCGTCACCCAGAGGGTGTTTGCACCTAGGTGCAAACACCCCAGGGGTGGCGTCACCCAGAGGGTGTTTGCACCTAGGTGCAAACACCCCAGGGGTGACGCCCTCAATTTTCTAGTTTTACCTCGTGACGAGGTAAAACGGGGACCTTTCAGTATTGGCTGCCGGACATCAAAGATGACCGAGCAGCCAATACGCAACAGCCCATGAAAATTATACGACACGGGCGTCAATTGACGTCGGCATTACCTCGTTTTTGTTTCAGGATGGAGATTAATCTCCATCTGGGCACCCGAACACTCTTCCCTGAAAGGGAAGAGGTTAGGGTAGCACCCTGAGGGGTCCCTTCGGATTCCGAAGGAGCCCTTCGCAAATTGAACCGGGTTGGTCTTATCAGACCTACCCGCTTCAATTATGCTCACCCCCAGTGGGGTAATTTAAGGGCAAAAAGTTGCCCTAAAATTATCTCCCACTGGGGGGGCGGATTGTGAGCGAAGCTTTTTTATGCATCGTGAAATTTTCAATTGCACGATGTATAAAAATAATCACCAGCTTAGGTCACAAAACCTGAGAGTACCCAACTAAAAACGACTACCTCCATTGGGTGCCCAACGAGGGGGGTGCCCAACGAGGGGGTGCCCAACGGCAGAGATAAAAATTTGACCATACCTCTAGTTTGAGGCGCGGAGGGGTTCCGGTTCTAGAACGGGAATAAGAACTGTTAAAGTTACTAACCCTGGGGCTAAGCATTACAAACCCTGACCCGGCGTCACGCTGTGACCCTAATGGTACAAAACCCCGAGGGGGACTCCGAAGGAGCCCTTCGGGGCTGTGCTTATTTTTGCATCTTCGATGCAAAACTCCTATTTTTTTATGGGCCGTAGGTCCTTAAAAAAAATAGGAGTTCTGTTTACAGCCTCTAAAGCTTTAGCTTTATGTGGCTGTTAACAGTAGGAGTGGAGCGCCACTAAAGCACAAGGCTTTAGAGGCACTCCACTCCAGCTCAAAATTTGACCCAAAGATTGCAAAGCAATCGGGCAGTAAGTCCGTCACGTCTTCCAGAGTGGAGATTAAATATCCAATCCGCGTCACCGACGCCACCCCTGGTCTGGGTGACGCCCTAAAAAATGTTGAGGGTCGGTATATAGCGCGCCGTGGGGCACCCGTATGGTCCCTGCAGGGACCATATAGGACCCCACACTTGTGGGGGGCTTAAATCCAGGGTTATACTTTATTAAAGTATACCCTGGATTTACCCTTAAATGGATTTAGCTGGGCTTCCTCCTTGGCCTCTGCTGGGGCCTAGGAGGAAGCGTATTTTTGTCTGTTGTGAAACCACAGGTTGCACAACAGTCAAAAAGAATTTAGGGATTCCCTAACACTCCGACAGGGTTGAACCAGCACTCCGAAAGCGTATTTTTGTCTGTTGTGAAACCACAGGTTGCACAACAGTCAAAAAGAGTCTAGCTTGCTTATTTTTATACATCGTGCAATTGAAAATTTCACGATGCATAAAAAAGATTCCGGAGTGCTCCACTAGCAGCATGTATCTATAGTTACATGGCACGTATTAGGGCATCCAGTCCCAAGCTATAAGCAGTCCGGGTACTAAGGCTGTTAACCCTATAGCAATAGGCAGTAAACCTGTCCAACAGAATAACATTAACTGATCATATCTTAATCGAGGTAATGTTGCTCTGAACCATACAAACAACCCTGTAGCAAAACATGTTTTTAAACCTAGTATGATAGATTGTAGATTTATAAATGTTTCGTTAACAACAATTTCTGGTAATAAATATCCACCAAAGAATAATATCATTGTTAAAGTTGACATCAATACAATAGAGCAATACTCTCCAAGGAAGAAGAAAACGAATATAATTGAAGAGTGCTCAGTGAAGAAACCGGCTACTAATTCTGATTCCGCAAAGATAACTCCTATTTTTTTTAAGGACCTACGGCCCATAAAAAAATAGGAGTTTTGCATCGAAGATGCAAAAGTCTTGAACAAATTAAATTTAGAAGTTTGGCTCTCATAGCTAGAAACGAACACCAATTTTTCTATGGACCGATGGCCCATGAAAAATTAGGTGCGCCGAATCGGAGATTCCGGCGCAGCTGCCGGGTCAGGGCCGCTCCATCGTAAGATGGAGCGATCTACGACCGGCAGCTTTTATTTTCTAGGTCATATAACCCTAAAGGATTTTTACTCATTACTTCATAACACCAATTTTTCTATGGACC